GACACCAAACAAGACAACACAGTATCGGGTTAATCATAATATCAACCATAATAAAAGAAATCATGATTCATGCATACGAGACCATAAAATAAATACATCAGACGTCATACTGCATTTAATACTGAAAAATAGATCAAACAATAACAGACCAACACTGTGTCAGACTCGGGCTCCATTGGCAACCTTAATCAATTATACATCTATAAAGTCACAAGGTACAGTTTAATTATTTATTTAGCTTTAATACCGTGATAGGAAATAGGGTGAGGGGTCCTTACTTATTTCGGGGTCTGAATTCGACTCTACAGTGCGCCTACAGGCTGTCCCTAATTTTCCTGAATTTTTTTCGGAAAAACTGAAACGCACTACCGGTACCTGTACGTGTCCCAAAAAATTCCAAATTAGACCAAGGGCCCCTTTCGGCCAATATCAGAATTCTGGCACGACGGCTCCGCTGTGCTCCGACGATGGCGCCGCCGTCTGCAGCGGTAATCCGCCTCGAGTTGGCCGTTTTTCGGCCGAATTCGGCTAACTTGCATCGGTCCCTACGACAAAACAACCCTAGGACCCTCGGTGGGCCAAAAAAATCACGAAAAACTGAAACTTACCGGCGGCAGTGCTCTCAGGTGCGGCGGCTCTTTCGGTGTGAGTCACGTTTTGATGTTTGGCTCCGATCAATCTGTAGAGAAAAGAACGATGATCACAGTGGTATAAAATTTGCATCAAACGGAGGCCAGGAAGGGCCTCATCGGAGGCAAAAACAGAGGGGGGTCGCGGCGGTGCCGCTAGACTTCGGCTGGGTTTTTCGGCCGTTTAGCCAGTGGTTTGGCTCTGGTTTGGCCATAGACGAACTCAGCATCGAAAAATGAGCCAAGGGGAGAAAATTTACCTCGATAGGAGGTCGAAAACTTCCCTGGTGCGGCGGCGGGTGGCGGCGGCCGGCTCCTCCGGCGTCTGGTTCTTCTTCTCCGGCGAGGCACTGGCGGCAAGGGTTTTGTGGTCAGGCGTGGGTGGGGTTATTTATACCCTTTGCCTTTTAATCTCAACTGTCCATCAAGATTAAATCTGGATCGTCCGATCGCGATTTAATTGGGGTTAAATCTGGATCGTCCATCGCGATGCAATCTGGGCCGTCCGTACTTGATTGAATCTGGACCGTCCGTACGCGTGAATTTGGGACATCCGTGCGCACGTTTCATATGGGCCGTCCGTGCGCGCGGGAACGGATCTAGGCCGTCCGATCGCACGCACGCGGATCGCCCACGTGGCCCGTCCCCTGGTCAGCATTTCCTTGCCACGCGGCGTGTCCTGGTTGGCCGGGGCTGCAAACCGGGCCGCTGACGTGGGTATTGACGTGGCACAACTTTTTTAAATTGCGTTTTGACCCCCAGTTTTCGATTTTCTTTTCAAAAATACCCATAAAATCTAAATTTTCACCTATTTTTCTCAAAATTAATTTCAATTAAATCCAAATAATATTTTTACCCAATTTTATCATTATTATTATTTTTATTTTCATTAAATTAAAATCTAAAAAAAATTCAAATAAATAAAAATAAAAATAATAAGATAAAATACGAAAAGAAACACTTGGGTGTTACAGTTAAGGCTTGCTATCTTATGATACAATTAAAGAGTCATGAATGATTTGATCCAATGGAATATCTCTACAAAAGTGAATTAAATAAAAGGTGAGAGAATCAAGATAAAAGGAAGATCATAATTTAAAGAATAAATCACATTATTGATGTACATTTATTAGTCGATCAATTATGTTTTTCTATAGAAAAACATAATTATGAATGTACTCGATTTATTAGTTAAATGAGATCGCTAGAGACATAAATGTGATATATAATTTAGGGTATAACATACAATTACATACTCCAATATTTACTATTTGAGAAGCTATATATTCCTAATAGATATATAGTTAAAGTATTCTCGAAGTATGCATGATCACACGACCTATTTACATATGAGTCTTATGGAATTGAAGATAGAGATGGTTACATCACGAGTGCGTAGGAGATATTGAATTTAATTAGGTGGGTCTCCCATGATAGGACCCGACCTAGTTAGATTAGTAGTAATTGCTAGTTCAAATTTCAAAATAAAAAAAAATTGTGGTTAGTTACCATATCCAAAAGAAAAAAGGTAATTACCCACTTAATGTTCTATAAAAAAGAAAAAAAAAATAGAAGAAAAAATAGGGAACACAACGTACAGAAAAAACATACAGACACACTCTCTCTCACAACAAAAAAGTTATGCTTCTGTGACGAAGAAGAATAAGAGCTTTTTTGTTATTTTTTCTTCAAAAGTTTGGTTTTCTATAAAAAGTATTTATACTGAGAAAATTTATATATAATTCATTATGCATTAATGTGATTATATGTGATATTACATAAAATAATCTTGAAAAAATAATTACAGAATTATTTTGTAGATTATATGTTAATTCTATGAGTTTCTAATTGAAGACGCTTCTGTTTCACACAATTCTTAATTATATAACCATTATCTCTCTTCCTCGATCTTTGAAGTCTTAGTTGAACTCTACACAGTCTTAATGATGAGCAGGAGCCTAATTCTTCTTTAACTTCCAAGTGAAAAAAATGGAAGGAAGAAATAGCTTGTCCCTTTTATTTCAAGCTAAAAAAGAATTTCACCAAGCTCCTAAAAACGACATCATTTTGAGGAGCCCAAGTTGAAACTGATCCGAAAGGGCTTGGTGTCTTCAATATTGTTTGACTATAGTTAAAAGAGAAAAAAAATATTGTGCTCTAATAAAAAGGGCTTGGGTTTAATTAAAATAAAATTATTTTAGGTTTTAAATGAAGTGGATTATATTTTAAAGATAGGGAACAAACTTTTTTTTTCCTCTTTTTTTTAAATTTTTCTGTATTCTCTCTTTCTCATTTTATTTTTTTTAACTCACTTCTCTCCAAATTTGCTTATTTCTCTTTTAATAATAATAATAATATAAAAAATTAAATTAGTTTAGATAAAATTTGAGTATTATACTTACCTTCTTTATTTGACTCTTTTACAAAAAATATCAAGTGAAGATTATGATTACCTCAATTTTGTTCCATCTAAAATTAATGAATTTCTTCATCATTATTATTTTTTTATCTTTTTTATTTTTTTATTTTTTATTATGTTTTTATATAAACACAATGTTTTTCTCTGGTAGGATTTAGATTAAATACAATACCTTCTTTTAGTAAGATATAAAGCAAACACACATTATGATGCCTTCTCATAATAGAATTTAAGGCAAATACAATGCCTTCCTATGGTAAGATTAAAGGCTAACATGCACACCATAATGTATTTTTATGATGGGATTTAAAGTGAACACACACACACACATACACACACACATACATCCTAATACTTTCTCATATTAAAAGATTTAATGCAAATCTTTTCCTTTAATGTCTTCTCCTTACTAAGCTTTAAGACAAATATTTCATTTGATGTCTTATATTTGAGATTTAAGGCGAATTTTTTCATTTGTGCATTCTCTTTACTGAGATTTAAGGTGAACATTTTTCTTTGTACTTCTCCTTTATGAGATTTAAGTCGAATCTTTCTTTTAATGCCTTCCCTTTATTAAGATTTAAGAAAATTTTTCTTGCGTGCCTTCTCCTTACCAAGATTTAAGATGAATCTATCATTTTTTTAGTTGTTATTTTCTTTCTTTTTTTTTTCTTGGGATATGTTGCCTTCATATGTTTCACTCTATCTATATCTTTTTTATAGTAGGTTTTCTTTTTAGGTTTTTGAACTATTTATGTTTTTCTATTTTTTTTTTATCTTTTATTATTATTATTTTCTTTTTTTTTTCATCTTTTTTTACTTTATATTTTCTCATTTACCAGTTTTGAACTTTTTTGATGCCACATTCAATCTATTCTAAAAGTAATACACATATTGAATTTTAGATAAGGTAGTTTGCCTTAGATTTGTTTGGTTTGGTTACTTATTAATACACTTGGTATTATTCCATGGGTTTGGGAATGAATTTGATAATGATGTTTGTCCTAGATTATTTATACTTCTCACTGATAAGAGAATATGTATTATTTAGATTCATAACTAAAATTTATGAAGTATAACAATCTTGATTCTTGTTAAAACTTCTAAAAAGATAGATATATAGTTGCTCCTTCTAGTTTGATGTTATATGTTGTACAAATGAAATTAAATAAGTGATAATAGCCAAAACTTAAATAACTCTCTTTTATTCAGTTCTATGAAAACTTAAATTTTTAAAAAATTTAATTTAATGTCTACATCGTTATTAATTAACATTATTATTATTATTATTATTATTATTATTGTGGTCTTAGGCTAGATTGTATGAGAAGAAAAAAAATTAATGTTGATTCCATTATCTCTAATATGAGTTTTGTAAAAAGAGAGAAATTTAAGAGCTTTTAAAGAGATAGAAAATGATTTTAACAGCATCAAAGATACATAATTTCATTTTTTTGATTTTTTATTCTTGGAACGTGATATTCAGGATCTTGAGAATTTAGGGATGATTTTAGATCATTTGATTGAGTATTATATATTGGGCAGTACCCCTTTAGTACATATGGAATGATATATTTTTTTATTTTTATTTTTTAAAATTATTATTATTGTTATTTCTATTATGTTCAAGAAATGAGATAGAAAAAAACAAGAAAATGAAAGAAAATAAAAGATTAAGAAAAAGAAAAAAAGAAAGAAAAAGAAAATAGAAATAAAAAAAGCGAAGAGGAAAAAAATTGAAAAGAAAAAGGAAGAAAAAAAATAAAAAAAAAAGGAAAAAAAGAAAAAAGAAAAGGAAACCAGCCATTTTA